ATTATAACTTCCGAGGTTTATAGTATACCAACTATAGCAAACCAATAACAGATACTGTTTTTTTGGCGCGTCGCGTTGGTTATATGTATAGGCATGTGGAGAGTTTCTCGAAATTTCAGTTTTACGTAACAATACTGACGCTAACACTAGCGTTTACGTACACACATATATTGTTGATTCTTACACTCGAGAATATTCGACATCGTTAGAGAATAGGCGTGAGTTTCGCAATGCAGATTTAACAGTATAAGTTATGTACATTTCTAAATATAAATTAATTTGAACAAACATCGATATTAAAATTAATATATAATAGTAAATCCATCACAGTAGACAACATCCCAATTGCGGTTGCTATCACGCATTCTTCTGTACGTAGAAATGCGCATTGTCTCAATACACAGTGAACGATACCAGTCTTCAGACACTAGTACTAGGCTTATTCTGTTGCCCCCCCCCCCCCAGTGGCACAGCGGTATGTCTGCGGATTTACAAAGCTAGAAATCGGATTTCGATACCAGTGGTGGGCAGAGTACAGATATCCCATTGTGTAGCTTTGTGCTTAACTTCAAATAAACAGAGAAACTTATTATATTGTTAAACATTGCATTTTTTATTCAGTCAGTTGTTGGATGGTTGGTTTGCTGTTGTAAGCAAGATGTTACACAGCCTGTGCTCTGCTTACCAATGTTTTTAGCATTATAAGCCTTCAACTTGTCCACTGGGGGTTTAGAAAAGGCGCTGAAACCAAAAACGTATAGAGTTTACTGTTTAACAGTTTTTTTAGTATAGCTACAATTTAATGCTTACAAAAACACTACATGAAGGATTTAGTAAACAAACAGTAATAGCGTTTAGATTTCTGCATATCTGTTGTAATGACCAAACACTATTATTGAAGTTGTCGTCATGGTGATATTTATCCCCTCGTTTTCTAATTTTAGTTTAGGTTTTCCATATGCTAATACCATACAGTTTCTGTGAATACCACCTATTATAATGTTATATGTACATTCAGCTTTTAAGTTTTATCTGGAAGATTTTTTATAAACTCTTACTTTCCAATCTTCGCGCACTGGGCAGCATCGGTCGAGACCGCAGCTTTGCTGTATACTCCTAACCTAGATCCTGAGATGAACTGATCTGTCCCAGAATCCAGGGCCATTCCGTCTACCGAGATTTCTGTGGCAGACATTATGAACAATATCACAACTAAAGGCACTATACAAGTTATAAGCTGATCCAGTACGGAAACCATCTTTAGTGTCTGTTGAGTCTGAAAAATAGAAACAAAACAACAACCTATAGTAAGGTAATGATCTCCATACTAAAAATATGAAAATGATATTACAAGTAACAAGATTAAGTACATTCAAAAGTTTACAAGTCATTATTAACGAAAGTAATAATAAATAAATAATATAGCATACTTTACTAATGGAATACAGAAATGTGAGATGTTGGCTTGAACTATTATCAAAGAAACGTAACATCAGCATCGGGTATCGAAACTCAATTTCTAGCGTTATAAGTCCAAAGACTTAGCACTGTGCCGCTGGGGAGCATTATTGCTATTTTGACCGCGTTGATTCAAGCAGTAGAAACTTGCCAATAGTACAGTCAAAAACTAATATTTATGAAGGCACAAAATATGAAATCAAATGTATACTTAAATTTGATATAAAGAAAATGATATACTAGGTATACTATGATGTGTTTTTAACTCAACTAGTCTCACTTTAACGCTGTTATTTAAGAAGCGTAAAGCAGGCATCAGGAAATAATAAAATAACGTTAAATGTTCCATAAGAGCCGAAAGCCCCCCAGTGACACAGCGGTACGTCTGCGGACTTACAACGCTAGAATCCGGGTTTCGATACCCGTGGTGGGCAGAGCACAGATAGCCCATTGTGTAGCTTTGTGGTTAATTACAAACAAGAGCCGAAACACGGAAATACTAACTAGTGCTAACTATGTACACTTAAGCCTTAACTACTACTCTAAACAATTTCCAAATGAATTAAAACGAGGACGTGGAAGTTTTGAAAAGTTGTTATGTTTAAACCCCTACTGTTCAGTTTCCCACAAAACTGAACGAACTTTTGTGTTTAAATGTGGAAACCTCATGTTTTAAAAATGTGCGCGAGGTGACAAGTTTTATTTAAGTATTGTAATCGTAACCATACTTGTCATAAGACACTAGTATTAGACCTAACAGATGTTGAACAAATTCTGTTGTATCTAATTATCTAAGAGTAGTAAACATTGTAATAAAACTTCTTTGTTACATAATCAACCCAAGAATGAAAGTCGAACGTAATAGTACTGAGTGAATTCTATTTTGAAGCACGCGTTTCTTTGTTGAAACGTTTAAAGTCACTAAAAGTGTAGTTAGTAATTAGTTTTCTTTCAAAGTTTGTAGCGCACACTGGAAGGATTACACATTGTGATAAAAGTTTAGATAAACGACCGTTAAACTCCAGGTATATATATATATATATACTTAAAATAAGAACAAAGGATTTGTCCTGAAGAAGAATGGTCAACTATTCGAAAGCACTCGAGTTTTGGGTCTTGTTTTAAGTCTATTACACTTTATATGTGATTCTTTGTGCTAACTTTTTTTTCAAGATATATATATATATATATATGTATTACTACCAACGTTTCGCTTTTCTTCAGGGTTAATACATACAAACTGTTTGATATTGATTAATTTATAAAATTGATTGTGATGTTCCGTCTCTCGAGTCTGTCGCATGTTTGTCCAACAACGTTGAAAATATCATTGTTGTTTCATTATTGTTCTAATACAATATACTTATATTACGTAGCTATACTAACATATGACATGTATTACTAAAATAAAATATAAAAATAAAGACAAACCCTAAGGTGGATTATCAACACGGAACAATATGTTAGATCCTGTTGTTTGCTAAACGTCTCGCACCTGTAGATGACTTAAATAATTGAACCGAAAGCATGTGCGTTAAAATAACGTGGTGATAGTCCAGATACAAGTATTCATGTTAAAAGCCTGAAAACTTACCCAAAGAATGTAGTGTTTAAAAATAAAATAAGCCTTATATTATTGTCTTACCACTGACAGTAATTGTATTTCACCAGTTTAAAGGCGTTCGCATCATAAGAAATACGTACATTTTAAAAATAACGTAATTAAGAATAAATACATTGAACAAAAATCTGTAATATCATTATCAAACAGTTGGTCCACCGTATAATACTGAATAATAAATTTGGCGCAATATCACAAAATTATTCACATATCTAAGTTAATTTAAATTACTGAACGCTGAGTTAAAATCAATTACAAATCCATAAATATTATAAAAACACATCACCAATATAAGAGATTTTACTATATTTCGTTGGTTTGCTGATGTGCATTGAATAAGCGAAACTAAGTTTGCTGATGTGCCTTGAATAAGCGAAACTGCAGTCCACAGCAGAGGGTATATTATATATATTGTTGGGTTATCGAGGTCACGTGACTGGTGTGGCGTCCTCTAGTTTCTAGAACTATCTTGTTCTTTCAGGAATGCTCTAGTATTTGCTAGATGGGGTAGTCGGGTATATAAAAGAGGGGAAGGTAATGTGTGTGTAGATAGTGAGTAATTGATCTGCAGTCAGAAGTATTATTGAGCACGTTCGTTGTTATAGCGTTTGTTTAGTGCGATTGTTGAAGTTGAGTGTATCGGTAAAGTTATATTCGGAAAGAATAAACCAGTTTTATTAAGAAAGAACTTGTGTCGCTTAAGTTTCGTCGGAACGAAGTTACGGAAAATTAATTAACAACCGGAGACGTAACAATATATTAAGCCATTACCACACAAATTATATGATGAAAACATATCTGTAATATAATTGTATCTAACTTTGATTTTCGTCGTGTCTTGTTGGAAAACTTTTGTTTTAGGTTTATCCTTTTCGACCTTTTGAATCTTTATTAAGATTTCTTTTTTCGTTTAACTGTCGTGAAGTAAGTCAGCGACCGGAACCTTCGCCAGGTCTCAGGACAGGTTTAAATTACGTTAACAATTATAATTAAATACGGGATGAGTGTGGTGAATAACCCTGGGAATATTATTTAGTCATATTTTGTTGTTGTTTCTCAATAGATCTTTCAAATGTCGTTAGCTGCCATTATGAGCAAATAATTAAGTGGGCGTATAGTAATGTTAAAGAAAGCAATTGTTTATTACAAGTTATTATAAGCGGTGCGATTGATAAATATCATAACGGAAGTCGTATTCAGTGAGGCATAACTGTAGACTAATAAAAAGCAATATTATACCAATAAATGATCTTATGTTCTACTGATAATGAAGGAACGATCATGGTAACTAAATGATCTTATGTTCTACTGATAATGAAGGAACGATCATGGTAACTAAATGCTCTTATGTTCTACTGATAATGAAGGAACGATCATGGTAACCTAAAAACAAACTTCACTATTTCCTAACGCAAAATTAAAACCCCATTTTCAGAATAAATATATCAAATGATATCTTCTGTCCATCGTTATGGCTTTTTCATTCAATCCCTCCTTCTAATTCACTATCAGCATTATGAAAGTTTTTATTTTATTTTTAACACTGGAAACTTTCTAATCCAGTACAGCTAATTTTTACTGGTTTACTACAGCTGCTAACACCAGTACACCCAACTTATACTGGTTTAGTACAATTGTAAACACCAATACAACCAACTTATACTGGTTTAGTATAATTGTAAACATCAATACAACCAACTTATACTGGTTTACTACAGCTGCTAACACCAGTACAACAAATTTATACTGGTTTAGTACAACTGTTAACACCAGTACAACCAACTTATAGCGGTTTAGTACAATTGTAAACACCAATATAACCAATTTATACTGGTTTAGCACAACTGTTAACACCAGTACAAACAACTTATACCGGTTTAGTACAATTGTAAACACCAATATAACCAATTTATACTGGTTTAGTACAACTGTTAACACCAGTACAACCAATTTATACTGGTTTAGTACAA